TGAGCAGCATCAATGTCCTGACATTCCGTGAGTGGAGTAAGTTGACGTCCGGATTTCTTACTACTCGAGGGATCCAACATCATTAATTTCTGTGTTGGGAACCATAACCGACCTCGTAGCTTAGGTGTAGAAACAATCGGACAGTCTCAAGAGACCCCTGTGGTACCGCCTCGGTCGACTGGTCCTTGTCTACCACCTTCTTTTTGCGTGTTAATGATGGTAAATAGACCTACAGGTGGCCCGTTGGCGGACTTGTACCGCCACTCTACTCTACTGAGATATCCCTTATTCCGTGTACAATCACTGAAACGGTAAGAAGTATTGAATACAACAACTTCCGGAACAAGCAATTGCCACAGCCCCGCTTACTAGGGGAAAGGCGGCACGGCAACGCCGTTATTATAGGATCATGACTCACGGCCCTAATGTTTGAATGTGCTTGATGCTCGCATGCGCACTAGCCGCTAAGTTCAAAATCAGTAAGATTGTCATAATCTGCCAGTGATATAGTGCTTTATAGATTTTGGTTATTAGGTCAACCCGATTTCCTGCCGGTATTCTGCTGGATACTAAGTAGAACCATAACCTCATCGTTATTCGAAAGTCGTGATCACGTCACGCTTTTAAATCACTGAGATCAAACATTAACGGTATCAGAAATCACAGCTATTGAAAAATACGATATCGACCATCTCTACAGCCAAGCGAACATTTCGTCCCATGTTGTTGGTGCGCCAACTCTGCTCGAACCTTCTTGTAGGGAATGTTACGTTACGACGTTCTCTTTTTTTTTTTTTTTTTTTTTTTTTTTTTTTTTTTTTTTTTTTTTTAACGAGGGGGGAATGCATTTACGCACCATACCATAGCACGAGCTACGACGTGTGTGGGGCTCCAGGGTCTTGAAGAGATCACCTAATACCCACTAAACCCTAAACCTCCGCGTGGCCCGACTCATCAGCGTCTCGGTAGGCCATGTGTTGTGCGTGACCTGCGGTCTGCTACAACGTCTCCTCATGTGTTTCAGTCTCTGGGAACGCCGGGTTGGTTCCCTTTACCTCGCACATTCTATCGATGTCGTTAAGCGATCATCGATAGAGGGTCTGCTAGTTTCTCTTGAAACTCTTGTTTTCGAAAAATCAAGAGTTTCAAGTCATCTTACCAATATGTTGTTCCTGGTCCTGGTCCTGAAGGGTCCTGGTCCTGGTGGGTCCTGGTCGTGGCGGGTCCTGGTCCTGGTTGGTCCTGGTCCCGGTGGTTCCTGGTCCTCTGCATCCACGCCGTGGGGGGGGGGGGAGCAGCCGCAAATTCTCCTAGTCTCCTAGTCAAGGTTCCAGTTAGCGGGTGCCAACTGGGACCTTGGTCTGGGGTACCTGGTTCTGCGGTTGCGAGGCCTCTCGTCCGGATCGTAGTCCATGAGGAATCGTAGCTGCTCGTTCGGGTGGTCCTGAGCTTTCTCGAAGGTCTTCTCTGCTTTTTTCCTCATGTACTCGTGGATGGTATCCCAATGCAGGTCTCTACGCAAGGTTGAGTTCCTTACGTAGGAAGGTGCATTGGTGGCGATCCGGAGTAGCTTCATCTCTAGAGCAGCAAGTCGCTTGCGGTAGCTGGGGGCAGCGTACCCCCAGACCGCGGAGGCGTAAGCGAGCTGAGGTCTGGCGATGGCCTTGATCAGCCGTAGCTTGGTCGCTAGCGGCATCTGGCTGTGTCTACCCAGTAATGGATAGAGTTGAGCCATGGCTGCTCTGGTTTTTGCGATGACAGCTTCTATGTGCGCTTTCCAGGTGAGGGACTTGTCAAAAACGATCCCCAGATATTTGACATTGTCGCTCCACTGGATATCTTCATCGAAGATGGATGCTTCGAGAGGTCTTGCAATCCTTCTTCGTTGAATGAAGATTGCCTGCGTCTTCTGGACGTTGATGCGGATTTTCCATTTCACGCACCAGTCCTGAATTTGGTCCAGTTCACCCTGTAGTCTCCTACGGATGATCTCGGGTCGTCTATGCTTGGCGGCTATAGCAGTGTCGTCTGCATATAGGGCCAGCATTGTGTCAGCTGTCTTCGGCACATCGTAAGTATAGATGTTGTAGAGCAGGGGGGCTAAGGCTGACCCCTGGGGCACGCCTGCTTCCAGCTGACGTCTTGTTGAATGGCATGTACCAATCTTCACCGTGAACCATCTTTGTGTTAGATAGCTCTGGATCAGTTGGCACATGTTCGCATCGATTCCGGCGGCTTCCATTTTGGCGATGAGTCCATCGTGCCAAACTCGGTCGAAGGCTCGTTCCACGTCCAGCAGGACGAGACCGGTTGCCTCCTGGAGATTGAAGCCGCTGGTGATGTTTTCCGTCAGTCGTAGCGCTTGGAGTTCCGTGTTGTGGGAGGATCTGAAGCCGAATTGCTCTGGGGGGAGAAGTTGCAGTTCTTCTGCCTGCTTCTCTAGTCGAACGGCGATAGCCTTTTCGACTACTTTGCCCACCGAGGAAACCAGGCTGATGGGCCGGTAGTTCTGGGGCAACTTCCGGTCCTTGCCTGGCTTGGTGAGCATTATAACCTGGGCTTCCCGCCACCGCCGCGGGAAGTGGTTAAGTCTCAGAGTGGCATTGGCGATGTTGGTGAGCGCAGCAATGCCTTTGGTGGGAAGGTTCTTCAGCATCCTATTGTTGATGCCGTCCCTTCCCGGCGCCTTTCTGACCTTCAACCTGCGGATGATCAGACGGATTTCCTCTGGACTGGAGGGGTGATCCGTCTCCTGGCCAGGTGGTCGACTCCTCATGTTTTCGGCTGCGACTTCCACGGCCTCCTCGTGGTTGTCGTCCTCGTTTTCATGGTAATTGAGTCTGCATTCGGATTCTAGCGAATCGGCGAATGCTTCGGCTTTTTCTTCACTGGAGTAGGCCAAGCCGCGTTGGCCGTGAAGAGTGGGGATCGTGGTGCGCTGACGACGAAATTTTCGCTGCATAGACCAGGCCGTACCATCCTGGGTCTCTAGTTCTGCACAGGCTGCATTCCATCTGTTGTTTTGGAGTTCCGCGAGTGCGTTCTTCAGAGCTAACGATGCTCTGTTTCGCGCAACTCTCGACTCCTCTGTCAACAGCTGGAGATGTTCTCGCTTGAGTCTTCTGTTCTCCCTGATCAGGTGCCTAATATGGTGCGGTGCTGGACCATTTAGGTATCTGGGAACTGCCGTAGTCTCGGAGCGGGTGCTGTCCTCGTGCGCTCGCAGAACAGCATTCTCCAGCTCCTCTACTGCGTTGTCCAGTTCCTCCGCTGATCGGATGGTTGGAATTTGAGTGATGTTCCTCTGGACGTTGGATTTGTAAAGGTTCCAGTTCGTCCGTTTGGTGCTCAAGCTATCTCGAGTTCTAGACCCTGTACCAAGTGTTAGTAGAATCGGATTGTGGTCCGACGATCCTTCCACCAGGGTCTCTATCTCGAACTCCTCTCTGATGTTGCGGAGGATGGCTATGTCCAGTACCGCAGGTCGCCCAAGGCCGAATGGAATGTAGGTTGGTTGCTCCGGACCGACGATGACCCCCGCCAGGGCATCGACGTGTTCCTGGAGCTGCCTTGCATTCCTGTCTTCGACGTTGTTGTTCCAAGCCGGAGACTTGCAGTTTAGATCTCCGATGACTATGCGTGCTCCTGGGCCTCTCAGGAGGTCAGCGATGTCATCTTCGTCTAGGGCCTCCCCTGGTGGCACATATAGGGAGGTGATTCTGTAGGGACGGCGGTTGTGATGGACCTGGACCGTGATTCCGTCCCCATTTATGTCTGCGGCATCGTCGAGGACATGACTCGTCAAGGTACGTTTGACGAGTAATGCGACTCCTCCACCTCTGCCCCTTCTGTCGTAGCGGTACGTCTCGTACCGCGGGAACGTCAGACTATGGGCAGCATCCAACTTCGTTTCTTGGATGGCCATCACCTCTGGTTGGTACTGGTCTAGTATCTCCTGGATTTCTGGTTTCCGTGCCCTGAAACCGTTGATGTTCCAGGAGATAATGCGTAGAGATTCTACGTTTTGACCTGTAGACATTTCGGGTCTAGTGCTTGTCTTGCATCTTGGCCTCGAGTGCATCCAGGCGGGTTATGATGGCTTGCATCATTGCTAGCAGTCTGTCGTCGCCGTGTTGCTTCTGCGCAGTAGTTCCAGTAGCAGTGGCGGCTGCTGGGGCAGAAGTGGACATAGGCTTCTTCACTTTTTGGGCGTAAGAAGTCCTATTTGTGGTGGGGACTGCTTTGGGGGCAGAAGCAGCTTTCTTCGGCGCCTTACTACATCCCTTGTAGTTGGCGGGGTGGCCTTCTCCACAGAGGCAACATTTGGCGTTTCGTTGCCCTGTTGGCGGCGCTGGCAGACTGCAGCTGGTGCTGTTGTGGTCCTCTCCACACTTAACGCACCGTTCAGCGAGACGGCAGTTCCGCTGTGTGTGCCCGTACCGCTGGCAGCGGTAGCACTGGCTGGGCTCGGAAGACTTTTTCTTCCTCTCGAGGCTGACCGTGAGCATGGCCAGCCTCTGGATCTCTGCAAGCTTTTCCGGCATCTTCGTCTTGACGAGGAAGAGCGGAAGTGGCTTCTTTGTGGTCCTTGAGGTCAGCTGCTGAACCACGGCGTCTGCGATGCCTTGGCTCACCAGATCCTCTTTGATGTCATTGACTGACATCTCTCTCGGAAGCCCACGAATGACCCTCTGGTCCATCCTGTCCTCCTTCAGTTGATATGTGAAGAAGGGCCGCTTGATGGATTCAAGCAGTGCGACTAGCTGACGGTAGTCAGCTGGTGTATTTGTGAATACCTTCACACTGGTACCCGCCGTCCTCGCTTTGGAGAATTGAATCCCCTTGCTGTTCATCATCCTACTCAAGGATGACCAATCAGCGGTGCCCTCGATATTGATTGGCGGAACTCCTGTTCCTGCCATGGGGGCCTCGGTGGTCCTGGTTGCTCTAGGACCACTCTTCTTTGTGGCAGCTGGCATCTTTCGCTGCCTGACGTTCTCTTACAGGTCAGTCTCCACCTTTATACGAATGTGTAGGAAGTAAGGAGTCGATCTACGTGACATGTCTTTCTGTAATATAATAAAAACCACATAAGTTCCGGACGGATGTTTTTGCACTGAAAGTATGTCGTGTAGTAAGGTAGTGACTTACGAGATTGTATACTCAGAATACTCATCTACCTTAAAAAACATGGTGAAAAAAGGACTTGCAATGATCGATTCAAATATTTACAAAGTTGGGATAAACTGAAGTATTATTCCTTTTTGTCGGAACTTATAAAAATTTTGATGAACTGTAAACATTGTTAATCTTTGAAGCAAGAAACAATATAAGGTGGCCCAAATTTTGGTTTAATTTCGATATTTCAAATTTAAAAGTAGGCTGCTTTCTAGATCATTGTGAAGAAACTCCGCCAGTAATCGCAATTGGTACTAACGAATTAGAATAGATTAGAAGGGGTCAAAAGCTCATATGTTTACATTGCATTGTTTGTCGCCAAAATTGCGTAGTTTTAGTATATACTTTTGAGTCATTTGACTACCATTACCTTCTGAAGTGACTGCGTTGTATTAACATAGTAATAAAACTTATCGGTGGAAACGTCTACCTTCGTCTGGCTTGTGTCGATCTTTGCTAGTTATGTAAGAAGTACCATGTCTTAAAATCGTACAACAATCTCTAAATACTTGCAATTTTAAAAAATAGTATTGATAATACAAATTTAACTGTCAAAAAGTTGACTGACGTCAGGTGCACTTGTAATATGCACTCTGATCCTCACCACAGACTATGTGAATCAGGAGACAAACTAATCCTTGGGCTCCTTCTGCCTAGTCTGAATTCGTTGGGCGGTATAGAGAACTTGTTCGGTTGTGATGTTTTGGGACAGATATACCTGCTCTCTTCTGTATTTCTCGCTTGTTTTATTGCGGTCTTCGTACGGTTCTGACAAAGAAAATCGGTGCCATGATATCGGATGCGATATAGGACAATAGGTTGACTCCTGTATACTTTATCTGAAGTCACTTGAAATAGTATAAAAACCTTTGGTCGGCGCGTCCTTTGTAATTTCATGACGTATCATAGGCGTGCGGTCATTTATTTAGAACGATAATAATAATGTTTTTATATCACAATAAATGGATTTTACTATCTTCTTATTTTTTTGATTTGGGATAAGAAATACTTATATTGGGAGTTTAATTTATGTTGACTGAAAGTTAAGAAATGGAAAAATTACAGAATTCCAATGTTTGACATAGGCAAATATTTACATAGCAGGTAGGTATATAAAAAGGTATATAAAGACTTACATTATAGGTATTTATATATCATCCTCGCCTTCGGAGCTGTCGCTAGAGTCATCTTGTAGAGAAATTACAACGGGATTTACAGGAGGCAAAACACAATATTCATTTTCTTTTTCAATAATATGCCTAGAACACTGCTTCCATAGGTCTGTGGCAGCAATATGAGATACTGCATCTCTTATTGTGGCCAATAGCGATTCACTTAATTGAGGGGTCTGATTATGTTTTCTTAGTTTTTTTTTTAAAGCAGCCCAGACCAACTCAATCGGGTTAAAAATGCAGTAATAGGGAGGTAAACGTAATACTTCATGGCCATTTTGCTGAAGCAGATTGTCAACAACATACTCTTTTTCAAATTTTTGTCTTTTAATAAGATCCAATAATATGGCTTTGGTTGATTTTTGTGGTATTTCCATTCCCTTATCCTTCATAAAATCAATAATCTCTTGTTTTTTTGTGCCTGTATTCGGAATTTTGTTTTTCTGTCGGGAATGGTATGGCGCATTGTCCATAATAATCACTGAATTTGGGGGAATGTTTGGTATTAACTGCTGCTCTATCCACTTTTCAAATAAGTCGGAGGTCATGTCCTCATGATAGTCGGTACATGATTCTTTGATATTTTTGGCAGATAACAGCAAGGCGTTAGGTATAAATCCATTTTCACTGCCAGCATGGAGAATAATGATTCGTTCTCCACGGTTGCATGGTGCATTTAAAATGCACTTGTTGCTGTCGTCAACCCAGCCGTACTGCACAACATCAGGGGACCTCGGTTGGCCGCGTGGGTCAGAGTGTCGTGCTACTGATCAGCCGGCCGGCCGGGCCGCGAGTTCGAATCTCGCCTTCGCCATGGATGTTGTGTGTTTGTTTTAGGCAGCAGCGGTGGCCGCAGTAGTAGACCCTTCGGTCTCCTGATCAGCCGCCGTGCGCTGTGCGGGTTCGAGTCCCGTCCCAGGAGAAATGTTTCTCTTGGCCATGGATGTTGTGATTGTCCGTAGGTGGTAGATGGTCTCTGACTGTCGAACGCGGAGGTACCACCCGGCGGTTCTCGTAGGCGGAGCCAGAATGTGTGCATGTTGCATGCACACGTGTTCCCTCGCCAGAGTCCGTGTGGCGTCCCCCCTTTCCCATGTATCCCCCATAGCCCCACGGTACCCAATGGGTGCTTAGGCCTTAGGCCTTCGTGGTAATTGGAGTATAAAAAAAAATCATGGGTATCATACCACGTTTCATCCAGGTAAATCAGATTTCTTTTCTGCTCTATATAGATTTTAACTTTGTGCAAAAATTCTTGGCGCAATTCAACGATTCGAGACGACTCCATAATCACCATTCTTTTATCTAATTTTTTGTATTGAAAACCACACAGTTTTACAATACAGTGCAGTAAGTCTAAGCATTTGTAATTATAAAAATCTTCAGGATAATCTTTTAATTTATCCCGTATCATTTCCAACGTGGGCACCAAATTTTCTTTATAAAATCCGTATATTATACGACGAATATCTTCCTGAAAACCCACGTCTATTCTTTTTAATTTTTGCCCTATGCGCTTTCTGTGGAAGGAATGGTTGACTACATCTCCCCTTTTTATAACCCGATAAATGGTAGACCGACTGATTTTTGTCAGGATACAAATTCTGTTTAAAATTTGATTTTGCGAGGAATCTGGATTTTCGTTTTTCAGACAATCATACATATTTAGGATTACTCTTTGGGTCTGTTCCTCTCAATCTTTATGAAAGAATTCTGCCTGCACAGGTTCATCAACCATCTCCTCGTGGCTTGGAGCATTTTCCCAAGGTCTCCAAAGAGCCATATTTAGGACACACAAGAACAATCAACACAACAATTAAATCAACAAGTAAACTGAGTATTCAAAAGTCAAAAACACACAAACTAATAAAAAACACGTTTATTCACCGCTACACGGCACTGGCTAAACTGTTTCAATTTTCAGTAGCCACCTGCACTTGTTCGGAGCTCTGAAATACACGCTTTCTCATTGGCTATGTCCACGCATAGGCGTGCTTTACTCCACGTGGACCGGTGAAACTGCCTTTGATCTTATACGGGGGATATTTGCTGCCAAATTTGGCGATTTTTGCAGCAACAGAGCGTGTTAAATATAGATATATAAAACGCACCCGGTATTTCACAGTGTTTCAAGTGACTTCAGATAAAGTATACTTCAACTGACATTTGAAAATTCTGAGTAGTATAAAAATTTATTCATCACAAAAATCACCCTCAATTTGAGAAACATGGAATCGTATTTCGGAAGTTCTCTATTCCATATAACGTACTTCTCAAAACTAGATAAACGTAATTTTTATCGCCTTTCAAAGCATTTGACTTACCAAAGAAACGTTGAAGACGCTCTAAGATAAAAAGAGGGAAAGTGTTTTGAATTTGCTAAAAATATACAAAGTGATAATATGAATTTATGGAATGTTTTATTCGTCCAAAAAGCTTTTTGACAAGTGCAAAGTAAAGTATGGAAAAACGTTTATATAACGATCCCGACATCTAAGCAAAACAAGACCAAATGTTAAATTATATTTTTGCGCTAATATGGTCTCATATTTGTACGTATTGCTGGAGACTGGTGTTACGCTGTTCCACTATTTAGTTGTGGAGATGTCTGACTCGATAAGTGGACTAGTGTTGTAGACTTGAACATCAATAGATACGCAACTTCAAACAACTGATTTATGCTTCCGCAAAGGATTTCGCCCCAATGAAATAAATGCAAACCTATGTAGCACTGATCCATGCAGAAATACCCAATTTTGCAGAATGCAAACCGATTATCGGGTATCCGGATTTCAATTTCACGGAAAATGCACATCTACCTAGCAGATATTCACATGAGTGAACCAAGCAAGACAAGTAAGGCGATTACATTTCAAATTCTCTCATTCTCTTCGTCTCGTCTTCTTCAGCCAGTCAGCTTCTGCTCCATTTTAGAGGTGTTGTATATGTATAACCACTTTCTCCACTACCCCACAATCCTACGTGAGAGATATCGCTCGACCTCGAACGTCGACACCGATTATGTTACTTTTGCTTTCGAAAGTTTTAGTGGTTTATCTTTTGCGACTTAACCGATTTGTGCCACGTAACACGTGATTTTAATCTAACACCTACAACTGATCCTGTGGTTTTTCATGCTGACGGAACTCTATTATTGTCTGGCCAAATCAAACTACCTGTGTGTGACTTAACTACTTATTTACTGACGTTTTGACCACCACGATGGTCTTTTTCACAGTGCAACAGATAATGATAATAATAATAATAATTTATTCATGTTTGTACACAAATGTGCTTGCACAAGTCGAGAAAGCAATACAAAAAAGTAACACGTGCACTTGAAAATACATAAACAAAATCGAAAACAAACACAAAGTAATAAAACAAATAGGTAACAATTATGGAACATAGCTGGTAAAATCATTATTTAAAAACTCTTCTATGCTGTAAAAGCTTTCGTCACTAAATATCTGTTCACAGTTGGTTTAAAAATGGTTGGATTGAGTGTTCGACAAAACCTGGGCAGAACATTAAAGAATTTTACACCTAAGTTATTAGTTCCATACCTAGTTTTTGATAGTCTTGTGTATTCTAGTATTAATTCATTATTGGACCTTGTGTTATATGTTGTGAATCTCTCTTGGAATTGTGCATCATAATTATGTCTTACATGGATCAGACATTCCAGTATATGTATACAGGGTGTAAAGTTAGTAGTG